ATATATATATATATATATATATATATATGTATTCATATATAAAAAGGTGTTTTAAACTCTCCACGCTCTTGCAATATTCTAAACAATGTTTCTAAACTCTAAAATCTGTAAAAAAGACACTGAATGTCATGATTTCAGCTCTGCCTCCTCTGCTCTTTGACACCTGCAAGAGCTCTTGGCCACGCCCAATTCTGTGCTCTGCATGTGAACACCTGATCAGCTGCAACAGGAAGTTTATTCTCCTGTATGGGCTGCACAAAGGAGCAAGAGGTGCTAAATAATTTTAAATAATTTATTTTAAATAAAAAATCCACGCTGATCGTGCAACTCATCCATCAATCAGCCAAGTGTGTGTCAGGTCCACTCTTATTTTGAAAAACCGGGCTAGAGCGCGTCTGCGATAAACCGCAAAGTAGCGAGGGACTACTGTATTACATATTTAGTAGAAATGAACATTGTACATATTTTCTTATCATTTCTTGTCTTTAAGCATAAAAGTCATTGCGTGAGAAGAAACTCGAGTCTATCATGACCTGCAGATATTACAACACATCAAGCATGCACACAGAACAGATCAGAATAAAAGTGTTTACAAGTAGCACAGCTACATTGATCTGGAAGAACTTTACTTTGGTCTGTGAGCAGCATGTTCAGAAAAAAACTCACGTATAGCACCTTGAATTTAACAGCGTTTTTTGAAAGGGCTGAAGGTCATTTGGGGACAGGGACATGCAGCAGGGTGACTATGAAAGGAGAAAGGGATTTGGGAATGCTCTCTGGCATTAAAGACATCCTTTCTCCGCTGCTGAACCAGCAGGCATGTGACAAATCGGATCCCATGCATCTTAGGAGTTGTTAGCGACAGTTAACAATGGCAAAAAACTAAAGAAATTAAACAAATTAATATCATAATAAATGAAGGTGCTACTGAGGCAAAAAAACAACAAATCACAAGTAGGACCTAAAAGAGGACAGGGTTAGTCACGTGGTTGGCAATGATTAGAAACTGATTAAAAAAATGGAAAAAGGAGCTCTTATGAGAAGGAAAGTAAGAAGAGGAGGAGAGGAACAGTTGACAGAGCAGAAGAAAAAGAAGACAGCAGAGAGAAGATGAATTAAATAAAAGATTGAATAATACACACCAGGGTCTTATAAACTGCTGTAGCATGGGTGCCACCTCTTGAGGACAAACGTAACCAAGACGACCAATTGTTATTGCTAAGGTAACGCAATCACGGTTACACACCACCAAACGCCAACGAAGACATGAGCAATGAGGAGGGGGAGGAGAAAAATAAAGAAAAAACAAACAACTCAGAGACAGAAATCAACAGAATCTGTGTATGATAATAAACAGAAGTTTTCTCTAGCGTCGATTATTACTGCCCCTTCAGTCGGGGGAGGAATGCAAAGTATGGCAATCTAAAACAAAACACATACAGAACGTTTAAGGGAGAACACATTGACAACTTTGACAAGACATTCATAGAAAAGGCAAACAGAGGCTTCTGCGGTCAGAAGTTTTGTGAGTCAAATCGAATCGAACTGAATTTCTTTGCTGCACGACTCCAAACACACGGGAGAAAAATGTGCAGCTAACATTTCTCCGACAGATTTCTCCCTTAAACTCACAAATGTTAATTTTTCATAAGAAACAGAAATGCTTTTTGTTCTTGTCGTTGTACTTTTCTTTTTTAAAGAAACAAAAATGACAGGTTACTCCAAGCCAACTAGATGGAGGGAGACTAGTATCCAGCACAGCAGGTTCTTTATGAGGCAGAGGAGGGACAACCTAAGTTTAAGAGACACAGAACTATGCAACATTCTCATTAACACACAGGCATTTATGAACAGTCCAATGACACATGCAGAAAGCAGATGGTACGCTCATAAGAGTAAAGTTCAGTGCAGGATCAGCTGATCACAGGAACGAGAGTGCTGCTACGCACTCCAACAATTCACAGCCACGCTAGGCTTTCACACAGGCGCTAAATTTAGCTCCGCCCATCACCTTTCGATGTTTGATTTACATGTGGCTGAAAATTCTGGCTTTGCTCTTTAAGAAAATTTCTTGCAGCTTTCTGTGATGTTTCCAATTCAGACACTGAAAACATGCAGCAGAAAGTGGAAGATGAAAACGTTTTCTAGGGCCCTGTTCAGACCTCGCACTAACTCCTGTGTTGTGTGATGAGAACGTCCGACAGTCGGCTCCGACGGAGCGTTCTCTCCCGTGACTTCAAGTCTATAGTTTTTAGATCAGTGTCAGTTAGCGGTGCTGTATGCAGATACTGGCAGCCATGTCACACTGAGGGCCGTCTGTGAACAACAAGGTTTACTGATGTTTCTGCACAGGTCAAAACATTCACACCTGAAATATAGTATTAGTTTGACATTAGGACAGTTCAGACCTATTTAATACACAATTCTAAATAAGCCTGGCCAAAAACACTATATGGGAGAAATGAAAGCATATAAAATAATTTCTGACTTTCATAGAGCACCACAGAAACTGGTCTCCATCTATAGTCCCCTGTGAACATCAAGTGTGTGTTTAATGAAGTAAACCTAAAGTAACAGAATACTGCTGCCTAGTGATTGACACAGTGACCACGGATCAGCTCTCAGAACACTAAAGAGAAACTCTCCACACGTGCCCTGGTAATCCACTATGATGAATAACGTCTTGGCAAAACGGACATTTGTATTAAGAAGGATTTTAAAAAACAGTGTATACCTTTTAGCACAAATAACTGAACAAAAAAGGTGAATTTTCTCAGGGATGGCTGCTGAATTGTCTTTAACTGGACAACAGATGAACATGAGTTTGGTTTTAAACTGGAATTTCCAAGTAGTAACTCTGCTGCTCATGTGGGACCACATGAGATCACCAGGAAGTTGTACATCAAGGATCAGAACAGGTTGCATTCAGACTACCAAATGAATGCAGTTAAAATTGGTGTAGATTAGAGATATATTAGTAGGACCTATATTTGAGGCCAATATAGACATTTGGGGACATATCGGTATCAGTGATAATTGGCCCAGTATGTGCTGATATAAACACTTCTAAATTTAATCCCTAAAATGCTGGGAACGAGCCAGGTCCTTACTTGCAAAAGGCGTGACTGTACAAAGTATCCAGCAGAGGGCGCATGAGGACTACTTTCAAGTCATGGTCTTTCACTTTCACTTTGAGCACAGCCCAAGCAGGGAACAACTAAATACTGTGTAGCACAGTTTGCTGAACAGAGCATGTTAAGTTTATTTTAACTACAGTGAGGAAAATAAGTATTTGAACACCCTGCGACTTTGCAAGTTCTCCCACTTAGAAATCATGGAGGGGTCTGAAATTTTCATCTTAGGTGCATGTCCACTGTGAGAGACATAATCTAAAAAAAAAAATACAGAAATCACAATGTATGATTTTTTTAATAATTTATTTGTGTTACTGCTGCAAATAAGTATTTGAACACCTGTCAATCAGCAACAGTTCTGGCCCTCAAAGACCTGTTAGTCCTCCTCTATAACGTCCACCTCCACTCCACTTATTATTCTAAATTAGAAGCACCTGTTTGAGGTCGGTAGCTGCATAAAGACACCGGTCCACCCCACACAATCAGTAAGACTCCAACTACTAACATGGCTAAGACCAAAGAGCTGTCCAAACACACCAGAGACTAAATTGTAGACCTCCACAAGGCTGGAAAGATCTACGAGCCAACTGCCAAGCAGTTTGGTGAAAAAAGATCAACTGTTGGAGCAACTATTAGAAAATGGAAGAAGCTAAACACGACTGTCCATCTCCCTCGGACTGGGGCTCCATGCAAGATCTCACCTCGTGGCGTGTCAGTGATCCTAAGAAAGGTGAGGAATCAGCCCAGAACTACACAGGAGGAGCTGGTTAATGACCTGAAGAGAGCTGGCACCACTGTTTCCATGGTTACTGTGGTTAAAATCACGCATGGCACGAAGGTTTCCCTGGTTAAATCAGCGCACGTCCAGGCCCGTCTTAAGTTTGACCAGGACCATTTGGATGATCCAGAGGAGTCATGGGAGAAAGTTCTGTGGTCAGATGAGACCAAAATAGAACTTTTTGGTCTTAATTCCACTCGCCGTGTTTGGAGGACGAAGAATGATGAGTACCATCCCAAAAACACCATCCCTACTGTGAAGCATGGGGGTGGAAGCATCATGCTTTGGGGGTGTTTTTCTGCACATGGGACAGGACGACTGCACTGTATTAAGGAGAGGATGACCGGGGCCATGTAGTGAGAGATTTTGAGGAACAACCTCCTCCCCTCAGTGAGAGCATTGAAGATGTGTCATGGCTGGGTCTTCCAACATGACAATGACCCGAAGCTCACAGCCAGGAGAACCAAGGAGTGGCTCCGTAAGAAGCAGATCAAGGTTCTGGAGTGGACCAGCCAGTCTCCAGACCTAAACCCTGTAGAAAATATTTGGAGGGAGCTCAAACTCTGTTTCTCAGTGACAGCCCAGAAACCTGGTGATCTAGAGAAGATCTGTGGAGGAATGGGCCAACATCTCTGCTGCAGTGAACCTGATGAAGAACTACAGGAAACCTTTGACCTCTGTAACTGCAAACAAAGATACTGTACCAAATATTAACATTGATGTTCACAGGTGTTCAAATACTTATTTGCAGCAGTAACACACAAATGAATTATTTAAAAAATCATACATTGTGATTTCCGGATTTTTTCTTTTAGATTATGTCTCTCACAGTGGACATGCACCCGAGATGAAAGATTCAGACCCTCCATGATTTCAAAGTGGGAGAACGTGCAAAGTCGCAGGGTGTTCAAATACTTATTTTCCTCACTGTATCTGTAAAATAAATCTACAAATCAACAATAAATTCTCTTCAATTCTCCCCTCTCAATTAGCAAGCTAACATTTAGCTAACCTAGCATAGGCTATTGCCTTGTAAAACTTTATACAGAACAACAAATCTAACGTAGAGTAAAATATATCAGTTATCTTTGTCGTCTTCAATGAAATGCATTGTTTGTCTGAAATCTTTACTTCTCTGCAAAGAAAAAAAAAACCTCGGCTGCAATCAATGCTAATTAGACCGTCACCACACGTGACTGTTTAAACAACGAACAAGGAAGGGCGTTTGTTTCATTTATATTTTGTGACATTGATAACTTTATGGTGAATATGGAGGATAGAAAATGTGAACGCACGTTAGAAAGACTGTTTCAAGCCTTCAGGTGTTAAAACAAGTTTAAAAGTAGCCGTTTACTTGGATTCTTGGCGGTGGACAAATGTCAAAAGTTTTCAGATAGTATATCGGTGGTCGGCCTTAGCCTTCCCCTCCCAGTATCGGTATCAGTGATAGCCAAAATTTCCATATCGGCCAGGCTCTATAGACTACATGTGAAGGTGGTCTGAGTGAAAACATTTCCAACACGCATCGTCTGTTCACAAGGGTATTTAAAGCTGTGAGGCTACACTCCGATCACTCAGGTAGGAGTTTAGCAACTGGTTTGAACAGGGCTTTAGATATGAATAGAGCAATTACTTCATCTTGTATCCTGCATCAAACATTGGCCATTCTTAACAACATTTAACATCTATTGGCAAATATGCATTCACATTTAAAGAACAGTAAATAAAAGCAACACATAAACTGACAGCAAACAAACAGGTACACATCTAAAGAGTCCCTACTTGGTCTGATCGTGGCAGGTCACACTTCACCCTTGCATGCATATTATGATTAGATCGTCATTTTGACTCATCAAATTATAATTTTCAGTTCAAATGACAGAAACAAAAGCGGAGTGTAACCACGTGGAGAAGTGAAAGAATTTTCTAAGCTAGGAGTTCTGTATTTGTTGGTTTAATTCTGGATGTTATTCAACTATAAGGGGATGTGAAACTAAAACCTACCTGAGCTTTATGTTTTGTACCTTTCTTCTTCTGCCAGTCAGTTCAGATTAGTGAACTCAAAGACTGAGCTCTTACTTGGGTTTGTTCATTTCAGGAGCGTCAGGAATTTAGCACCAGAGCGTTGCTGAGCTTTTCATTTCCTTTTATCTGAACTCAAAGGGCCTTGGTGCCAGGATGCAAATCAATACCTAAATATTTGGACTTAATTAAGTGAAACCAGCAAAACCTGTAAGGCTCATTCTTTGGAAAGGATTGTTTTGATAGAAACAAAGCGCAAATTCAAAGGGCAGGCATCTTGGTGTGTGTAGTGGACTCAGTACTGGCTGGATGGACCTGAGTGAGTGACCACCTGGATGACTAGCTCAGTACTGCCACCGTGTGGTACCTGTGTTTTCCAGCAGAGTCTTTGGGGTATTAGGTCGGTTAATGATCTCCACCAGCTGGTGCAGCACCATGGCAACGTACGGCTGCATTTCCGGTCCTAAGCATTGCAGGAGGAGGAGAAATGATGTGAAGCTTTTAAAAATATATGCAAGTTTCTCACCAGACTGTGACTGCATGAGACCGATTGGTGACTCAAAATAGCAAGAATTTTGTTGTCGTCGTTGCGTTCTCACTGAATTCTGAGTTTGCAATCAGGTGTTCCCTACAGTTGTGTTTTAAAGAAAACCATTTAAAAAATCGTAAACTATTTTTGTGTGCATGGCTTGCAAATCTGTATTGTAAGCCATGCACATTATTTAGTTGGTCACGTGCGCTCATATTGAATCCACCTAGGCTCGTATTGTACTCACATTAGCCTAAACATTTGAAGCTGAAGCCTCCAATGTTCGTTTTTATAAGGAGCGCTCCTGTGTAGATGTCAAAATATAGCACGAGCCCTCTGGAATTACAAAACTAAACTGAGAAGGATTTGCACTTCTTCTCCGCTCTGCATGGGTTTTAGGGGGGAAAAAACGTGTCACCTAAATTTTGGAACATGTTGAACATTTCAATGGCAAGAAAGTGAGCCTGTGCGACTCTTGAGGAAACTGAGTCCAGCAAACAAGTCAAGGCACTGTGGAGGCTCCCGGCTTGCAGCACAGCCACATTCAGGATTATTATACACGGCCTACAAGACCGCTTTGCAAGCCATGCACGCAAAAACAGGCCGTGAGGCTCTAAAGTGTCCATGCAAAACATGGGTCATGTGTTTCTATCCTCATCTGATTGCAAACATTCAGAGTTCAGTGAGATCGAAAATGAAAATGTATTATTTTTTATTAACCTTTATTTAACCAGGCAAATCCCACTGAGATCACAGATCTCTTCTGCAAGTGAGGCCAGGACCTGAAGGCAGGCCAACATGCATGTTTTTGTTCTGTGAGAGGAAACCGGAGTACCCGGAGAAAACCCACACAAGCACGAGAAGAACATGCAAACTCCACACAGAAAACCAGGGATTGAACCCAGGACCGTCTTGCTGTGAGGCAACAGTGCTAACCACTGAGCCATCGTGCTGCCAAAGATATATTAATATTTATATAATATTTGCATATATTCTAGAAATTGAGTTGCCAACTAGTCTCAAACACTTGCAGCCCAGTGAGGTACTGGCTACAGTGGCTTTTGTAAACTGGAGGTGTGTTGCAGAAATGCCTTGGGGTAAAACACACACTCACCCATCTGTATAGATATCTCTCCAATAGCCCACGTTGCATTGTTGCACACAGATATTAACTCTGGGTTTAAATTAGTTCCCAGTATGGGCATAAAATCAGCTGAAAGAAGGAAAAGTCAACATCTTAGCAACTGACAAACATCTTCCTCTCAAGCAGCAGTTTGGAGACACGAAACCTACCGATGCATGGCTTCACATGCTGGAAACAAGCTTTGGTCAGATCCCCGAGCAGAGCAAAAGAACTCTGGCGCACTTCTGGCATTTTGTCCTGAGCAGTTGGTGGAAGCAGCCAACTGTTAGCAATATTAGTCTAATGGTTCCAGTATCTAACAAAACACTTGGAGTGCTCTTCACCTGCATGCACTGGTACAGAAGAGTGAGGATGTTGCTGCGAGCCACCAGCTGCTCGATGGTGCCTCCCAAACCTTCAGCCAGTCCACTCAGAAGATCCAAAGCCACAATCATGAAGTCTTTGTCTGGGGCCTCGTGCTGGTCTGGCTGGGACTGATGAAGCTTAAAAGTGAAAAAATACATAAATAACTTCAACGTTTCACTTTGAGATAACCCTAAAACAATTATTAAAGTAATTGTAGGAAACTTCTAAATATTTGTCACTAAATACATCTTCTTTCAAAAAAACAACTTTCATCTACTACCAAAACAACTCTAATTAGAATTTTTATATTATTTAAGACTTTATTGTGCAATGTTTTTAATAATGTGTCTGGTTAAGACCCAAGTTAAAAGTGAGTGATGAATATGTGTGAATGCAGATTTCTGGGGCTTCCACACTCACTATAGCCTGAGCTAAGGTCTTCTGAACCAGGTTGACACATCGCTGGTACACAGGCTCACAGTAGGGCAGGAAGCCACTCTGCAGGGCTGTGGCTACAGACGACAAACACTGAGCAAAGCCAGCAGGAAGAAGAGAGTCAGCTGCAAGAAAACCTCAACTGAAACCAATGGTGTGATGCACAGAAAACTCACTTCTAACAGTGGGAACAGATCCTTGTCTTCATCTTTGAGCTGGTTCCATTTCTGTATCAGAGGTGGCATCAACATCTGGATGTACTCCTGATAAATGTAACCGATACATTTTTTAATAAAGGTTTGAATATTTATCCTCCAGCCAAAAACATCCAAGAAGTTGTTAATGTTTACCTTTGAGTTGAGCTGTTTAGATTAATAACATCTAAATGTAAACTTACCACTAGTAGCAAAACACTGGTAAAATGAGACAGCAGACATAAATAATGTGCGTGACACAAGTGTGAAGAGCAGCTGCACACGTGGTTCTTGTGCTTACTGGTTTATTGAGGTGGTGTCCCACTGAATCTGCAAGCGTTCCGATGGCATCATAAAGAATGAGAAGATTTTTGTGTTGATACTTGCTGAAGGCAAACACCAATGTGTCCAGGATGAACGCTAGGTATGGCACCAGCTCCGTGCAAGCCTCTTCCTCTAAAGTAGCAAAGGCACTAAAAGGAAACAAATTAGCACAGGAAAGGCAAAAATTGCACTAAAATCAACAAGAAAAACTGCCTTTTCTGTGAAAGTCTAACGTGAATGCTGTGTGCTAAAGGACTTTACTGATACTAAACATTTAAAACTAGTTCAGTACAAGATCACATTGGCAAAACAAAAACTAAACTTTGTGAGACTAATACTAAAAGCAGCAGATTTACCAGATACAAACTGGAAACCAATGTTGACTCAGTGTTTACACGGTAAGTAAATGGTAAATGGACTGTACTTATAGAGCACCTTTCTATCTTATTTCAAGACACTCAAAGCTCTTTACAACAATCTGTGTCTCATTGACCCATTCATACAGCTCTATACTAGATCTCTACAAAGATAATTGAACAAATCATTCTAAAGAGACTAATCAGAGCTTTATCACATTCATACACTGATGGGACACACATCAGAGGCTATGAGGGGTTCAGTGTCTTGCCCAGGGACACTTTGACATGTGACTGCTGGTGGATTCGAACCCCCAACTCTTGCATTGGAGGACGACTGCTCTAACCATGCAGCCACAGCCGCCCCAGTTGTTTTTAAGTTCAAGTAAAAAAGGGTTTGAAATGTTTCGGGAGGATTTCCTCTGTACCTGCATGCAGCCTCCTGTACTCGCTTGTTGCTATCCAGAATACGTTTGAGCAGCTCGGTCATTAAAGGCTTCAGGTAAATGTCTGGAGGCTGGCTGACAACCCAGTGAGCATAGCGACTTAATGTCCAGCAGGTGATGGATCGGACCAACGCCTTTTTGTCAGACAAACACTGAACGAGATGTGGAATGAGCTCAGGCAGGTATGGGATCATACCCTGCATACACCCTGGAAAAGAAAAAAAAATCCTTATTTATATTCAAGCAGGCATTTTTCCTGATCTTTTTACCGTTTTCCTCTTCTTTTCCTTTTTACCTTCAGCTATAGCTCCCAGAACCAGGATGCCAGACTCTTTAACTACCCACTCTGGATGGAAGAGCAGCTCTTTGAGAAGGGGCAAAATGTGCAGCAACAGATCATCCCTGAACACATTGGCCAACACATCCAGTGCTGCTGCAGAACACTTTCCTAGCATCACAGAAAACACACACAGAAATAGAAACGTGCACACAAAAATCACACAAACATAACAAATATAAACAAACAAACAAAAAATCAACAATTCTTCTAAGCTTTCAGCAAAGTTTTATGAGAGTTTGACAGGGCTACATTAGTGCAGGCATCAAACTCACGCAGGTTCCAGTCAGAGATAGTGTCATCATCGTCTAGTTCATCATCCTCATCGTCTTCTTCCCCAATGTCATCCCCCTCATGCTGCTGGGCGACTGTACGGGAGCGGTGGAAACGAGGTCTGATGTCTTGCTCATTGTCTGGGATAGCCTCGTCCTCCTCAATGTCCCCCTGAGGACAAATGGTTGGTCTTTAAATCAACTATAAGATCTAGTCCAGAGGACCTGACTTAACCTTCATAGACTAATACACTCATATTCATATGTCTGAAAAAAATAATAAAAAAACACTACTCAGATTAACTGGTAGGCTGGACAACCTAATTGACCTGCATATCAGCCTGATACACAGAAACTCATCACTGTACTCCCAGGATCACATATTATGGCATCTAAACGAACCTTGAGCAAGATTATGTCGATCTCAGAGTACTTCATCCCATTGACGAGCACAGGAATGAGCCTGGAGCAGAAACAAGAGACAAAACGATGTGGAAAAAGGCCAAGGATCGGTCAAAGCTCACGGGCCAGTCACATCTGAATCAGAGTTAGGGAACAGTTTAGTGATATATGTTACAGCTGAGGTCAACAGCCAGAGAGCTTCTACATCATCTGCCAGGAGCTGATGAGAAGAATATATTCTGCAGCAAGGCCTGCACTGACAAACTGATAAGGCTCTATGAATCAACTGTGATGCACAAACTGGTAGCATTCTTACTGGGAGAGGTGACCGCACAGCACGTCCTTACACACCGGCTGCTCTGCCAGTGTGAGCCAGAACTCACAAGCCTCCAAGGCAACATTCTCATCCTGGTCTTGGGTCCTCTGAAGCATGTACTGCAACCAAAATATGAGCATTTAAATATTGCATGTTTTTTTATCCATATCATGTGCAAATATGCAGCCCAATACCCTCGGCTCACTTCTGTGTATCTGCATCATGTTTCTGCTGTGTATTGAGAAAAGAGCCTGTAAGAAAATATTCGTCTTCTATACAAATCTGATAATCTCTAGCAGATGCAGCGTGAACTCCAGCAAGTTGCTACAGATTTACTGGTTATATTGATGAATTCTGTATAATATTACAGTATACCTCACAATAGGGGTGGGCCATATGGCTCAAATATTATATTGTGATATTTCAGTGCATTCTGACGATAACGATAAATTTCGTGATATAACAAAAAAAACAAAAACCCACAGAAATCAATAGTTATTCATTTGACAAAACTAACTTAAAACATTGCTTTGCAGTATTACATAAAAATTAAAAAACAACAAGGATTAATTTTACTGAAATTACTTTATTTAGTAAAGTACTCAGTCTCCAAGTATAAAAATAAAAATGATCCTTCTGTTATTTAGAATGAAAACATCCGCACAAAGTATAGATCAACAAAATCTACCACAAAAACTAAAGTGTCGGTGAAGTTTCCCAAAACAACTAAATAAAATTAAAGCTTAAGATCTGCCGAGTATAAATGTAACCATCCATCCATCCATCCATTTTCTTCCGCTTATCCAGGGTCGGGTCGTGGGAGTAGCAGACTTCCCTCTACCCAGCCACTTGATCCAGCTCCTCCGGGGGAATCCCGAGGCGTTCCCAGGCCAGCCCAGAAGCACAGTCCCTCCAGCATGTCCCAGGTCTTCCTCGGGGTCTCCTCGTGGTGGGACGTGCCCGAACACCTCGCCAGGAAGGCGTCCAGCAGGCATCCTAACCAGATGCCCGAGCCACCTCAACTGGCTCCTCTTAATGTGGAGAAGCAGCGGCTCTTCTCTGAGTCCCTCCCAGATGACCAAGCTTCTCACCCTATCTCTAAGGGAAACCCCAGACACCCTGCGGAGAAAACTCATTTCAGCCGCTTGTATTCAAGATCTCGTGAATTGCCATTTCTGCCTTTTAATGTCTCGCTGGTATATTTCTCTGATGGTGACTCCAAACAGCCGAATTGATTCCTAACGCCGAAAATCGAGCTTACAGCTTACTCCTGTCAGGAGAATTTGATCAATTTTGTTCAGAGACCAGCTGGTTAAATCCTTCGAATTAGAAAGGTATGCAGGAAAAAAAGAGGCTCTTTAAGGGTTCACAAGACGAAAGAGAGCAAAAGCAGGGAAGCGAGGACACATCTGTCTTCACCGGCGCACAGAGAGAAAAAAAAGATATGGCCCAGCCCTACCTCACATATGCAGTGCCTTGCGAAAGTATTCGGCCCCCTTGAACTTTTCAACTTTTTGCCACATTTCAGGCTTCAAACATAAAGATATAAAATGTTATTTTTGGGAAGAATCAAGAACAAGTGGGACACAATCGTGAAGTGGAATTAAATTTATTGGATGTGTCAAACTTTTTTAACAAATAAAAAACTGAAAAGTGAGGCGTGCAATATTATTCAGCCCCCTTGCGTTAATACTTTGTAGCTCCGCTTTTTGCTGCAATTCCAGCTGCAAGTCTCTTGGGGTATGTCTCTATCAGTTTTGCACATGGAAAGACTGAAATTCTGCCCATTCTTCCTGCAAAACAGCTCAAGCTCAGTGAGGTTGGATGGAGAGCGTTTGTGAACCTCAGCTGGAGCAACAACACCACCAGCCTGATCAAGAAAGCTCATCAGACGGCTGAGGCGAGCTGGTCTGGAAGCTCAGTCTTCACCTCCTTCTAGAGGTGTGCAGTGGAGAGCATCCTGTGCTCCAGCATCAACGTGTGGCATGGAGGCTGCACAGAAGACTGTCGGAGTCAGCCTCCCCACCATCACAGACATCTACAGGTCCTTCTCAAAAAATTAGCATATTGTGATAAAGGTCATTATTTTCCATAATGTAATGATAAAAATGAAACTTTTATATATTTCAGATTCATTGCACACCAACTGAAATATTTCAGGTCTTT